CCGCGCTCCCCGGCCGGCCTGGGACGAAGCGCCCGTGTGCGGGCACCGTGCTTGGCTCGCCGCCGCCTCGCTTGTCCCCGCAGCCGCCTTCGGGGGCGAAAACCGAAACCAAAACAATGCAGGAGACTCGGGAAAGACATCCCTGCGCTGGGAGTCTCCGTCCGACGCTTCTGGGTTATTGTTGATGCTTCTGCTTTTGCCGCTTTTCTTTAGTTGTTTTTAGCGTTGCAGCTTCTCTCTTTTTCAGTTTAGTCCAGAACAAAACTTGCGGAAAAGAGAGGTCCTTGTTCACCGCTGGGAAGTCCTGATGTTGTGAGTTCAAAGGGTGAAATGCAAAATGCAGCTGTTGTGACCACGCTGAGGCTTGAAAAGCCATCTTAAAAAAGGAAGAGGAAAAAAACCCAGGGTTTTTTTCTTCCTTTTTTTCCCCCCTCTTTTTAAACATGAAACTTACTGAAGTGACAGTTGTATTTAAGCAGGCATCTGGACTGCAGTTTTTCTTGCACAAATAGAGCTTTTTAAGGAGCAGTGTTAGCCCTAGTATCATCTGTACTTGCAATGTTTTCTAATACTGCTTCCAGCAAGGAAGAAAATTTTAATTTTTTTATTAGTGTTGCAGCTTGGGTAGTGTGTAGTTCACCTGTGTGTGGCTGGGCTTTGAGAGCACAGGGAACTGCCAGTGATGTGATCCCTGAATCTCACTGAGCTCTGGTGTGGTTGTGGTGCCCTGAATGGACAAGGAGCCCCCTCTCAGTGGGGACAATCTTTTCCCTGGAGGTGCCACCGAGCCTTCCCCAGCGCTCTGTCCCGTCGCCCTGTGAGTCACACGGGTGTTCTGCATCTGAACACAACCTGGGAGTCCGGTGTCTGGGTGGAGGAATTGGCCTTGGCCAAGTCGGGCTGGCTTCAGGTAGTGAAGAAAAACATTTTGGTTTCTTTTCTGGTGTATGGTGACTAGAAAAGCTTGCCAGAAGAAAAAGGCATGCCAGGACTGTGGCACTGGTTTCTTTTCTGTGGCTACAGGGTGGTTTTATCCCTGTTGTGTGGGTTGGGCTGGCTGGAGAGCCCTGTGGAGGCAGGGTGTGGTCAGTGATCTCTTGGATATGCTCAGCTGACTGGATTTATTTTGGACTAGACAGGGCAAGCATTTGGACAGTGTGCTGTAAGGAGCAGCATTGCTGGGCATGAGGAAGCCTAGCTGGATCCTTGCTGTCAGTTCCTGGTCCTGCTGACATTGAATTTTTGGTGGTGATTTTGATAGGAACAGGTCAGCCCTCCACATCCTTCCTGTGGGACGTAGTGGTTAGAAAAGCATGACAATTGTGCTGATGGCTTTGGCTGCCCTTGCTTATCATGTTGGAAGTTCTGTTGCTCTGTTTTTTGCATACCCCATCTCGGGAGGAAGAGTAACTATTTATACAAGCAGTGGTATGAGGCCATAGTGAGCAGCCTGCCTCTGAGGTAAGCTTGATTCTGCTTTGCACTTTGAAGCCTTGTGACTGAAGCCCTGTTACATGTGGCCAACTGCTCTCCTTATCAGCAGCTCGCTGCTGTTGTGTGATAGTGGTGCCTTGTAGGGAGAAAGAACAGAGCTTGTTTGTTCTTTTTATAAGGAAGATGTTTCTCTAATATAATTGTCTCTGAGCTTTATACTTGAGGTTATTTCAGTAGGACAGGCAGATCAGGTTTGGTTTGTAGTGACAGGACGGGGTAATGGCTTTAAGCTAGAAAAGGGTAGATTTAGGTTAGACATTAGGAAAAAGCTCTTCAGTATGAGGGTGATAGATCCGTGGAATAGCTTGCCCAGACAGGTGGTGGAGGCCCCATCTCTGGGGACATTCAAGATCAGGCTGGATGAAGCTTTGAGTAGCTTGATCTAGTTTGAGATGTCCCTGCTTATTGTGGGGGGGTTGGACTAGATGACCTTTGGAGGTCCCTTCCACCCCAGACGTTCTATGATCAAATTCTTTGTCCCAGAAGAGACATTAGGAGCATGGGATGGTTCACAGTTGGCATCATATAACCTGTGCTCTGTGAGTTTTTTTTATATCCTTTACCAGCTTTTTAAAAAATGAGGTAGACTTTTTTTTCTGTGTTGGCAAATGTGAAACATAGTTGTCCTTGCTGCTACTGAGATGCAGAAGTGTTTTGGAGGGAGAGAATGAAGCAGAAAATTAACAGAAAATTAGTCTCAATAGTGCCAATTCAGAGAAGTGATTAGCTGGAGGGCGCTTCTACAGGTGAGTCTGGAAAGTGAATGCTGTTTGCTGGAACCTCTACTAGAACTAGTGTTTTTTTTCCCCACAGATTTTGCCATCTCGGCACAAAGTTGATCTTTCCAGGTCTGTGTGTGTTTCATGTGTTGTCTCTTGTGCAGCACAGCATATGGCAGTTGCAGGAGAAAAATCCCAGCTCAGTGAGTATCTGTCAGCATGGGTGAACTGAAGGGAGGGTTTGTTAGCTGAGAGTGGGGTGATCCCCTAACCCCTCAGAAGACCTGGGAAGAGTCTCAGCCTCTGAAGAGAGAGGAGACTGTGACTGACACTCTTGAGCACTTTGTGGGGCAGGTGCTACTGAACTCTAAAAGCTCCACAGACAACACAAGACTGTGCTGATTCTCTCCAACTTGTGAGTCACACAGAACATTTTCCACAGGGGAAATACCTTCTGAGTCCTGTCACAGAGGCTGTCAGATTTTGCTGTGCCAGCTGGGGCTAATGTCAAACAGAATTTTTTTTTGAGATAAATCCTGGATTAACTATGGAACACGGACTGCTAGAGTGCTGTCTCTGGCAATGTACATCTTTAAGATGCCAGAGATTTTTTTTTTTTTTAGATCTGTGTGTCAGCTGTGACCACTTTGGGGTGTGCCAGGAGACATCACAGGACCTTATGTTTGTATTCAGCTTGTAGCTGGTCAAGTGCTGTAAGAGTGAGAGTTGCTGTTTTCGGGTGGTTTGCATAAGGTAATAAATGGAATTTGGAGCAGATTTAATAAGGTAAATTAGGTCAAAACTCTAGTATATACTAAATCCTGATCTAAGGTACTGTGTGCCGTAGTCCAGTCAAGCATCCAAGGTGACTGTAGGACTGACAGAGGGATAAAATGCTCCTGGTGTGGTTTCTGCCAAAGCCACCAGCACGGGCACAAAGCGCATGAGTTTTATGGATGGCAGAGCAGAGTTTCCCTTTAACTTCTGGAGGGACAATTATTAGTGCAGCAGTGTAGGGCCTGTGGGATGGACAGATGGTGAAAAAGATGTGAATGTTTTCCCAGGGAAGACAGTACAAAAAGTTTCATCAGGGGAATGGGAAAGTTCTGCCTTTCTGAGAGTCAGGAGAAGTGCAGGGTAGGGCAGGCAAAAGACCTGAGCACTGTGACTCCTGATTCTGACCATAGCTCTCTGCTGCCTTAGAGTCTGACCTTAAGAAACCCACTAGATAGGACTGCAACTGGTTTTGGCTCTGCAGACTACCAGTGATGATGCTGATTGGTGTCAGAGAAGGGCAATGCAGTTGGGAATGGTGGATGTAAAGAAGCTGAAGAACTTTATGCTAAGAGGGTTTTAGGTGCTGTCTTTTCACAGCTTTACTGTTGTGCCTAAAATCAGAATAGTTCTGGTGTCTTGCAAAGGGTTAGGAGAAAAATGCTGTATCTTGTGTCTTGCCAGTGTTGGTTTTGGAGGATAGATGAGGCTCTCCCTGCTCTCAGACCGCAGGGTTGGTAACAGCACCAGGTTTTAGGTGGGGGGCTTTGCTTTTTCCTTGCAATAGTTGAATTCAAATAATTGACCATAACTTCTTGATCTTGGCAGCTAGAATGCTAATTTATGTTCTGGTACAGCAGGATTTCTCTCTCCATCTGATGATGCCACGTGTTGCTGCTGAGTCTTGATTTTTTTCTATGAATCTGCCAAAGCCCCCCAAAAATCACAAGATTTAATACAACATGGTATTTTACTGTTTTGAAGGTGCTTGTAACTCTGATAAAAGAGAATGCTTTTGTACTGTCCTCCCTAATGGCTGGATGCAGAGTAAGGGCGGGTGGCATTTCGGTGTGTAATGCAGCTGTTCAGGTGATAATAGTTTGCTGTAACAAGCAGGAAGCAGTTGTGCAGGGGCCTAATGGCAGGGATGTGGGTTTGGGCTCTGACTCACAACTGATTTAATGTTGCTTTTTGTCTCTGCTGTGGTTATTTCGCACTGTTTGGCCTGAACCAGAAGGAAGGCAAGATGTTCCAGTCCACAACGTCTGTGATGAGATTCTCCGTGTCTGACAACGTCACACATTCAGCTACCCTGGTGACAGCACCAGACAATGTGACGACCCTGTCCCCGACAACGACACAGGCAGTCAATGACACCAACATCACTGTGCCACACAAGTGCCTGTTGCTGCTCTATGAGGACATTGGGAAGTCCAGGTGAGATGGAGGAAATGGGGCTGTGGTTTGACTCTGGGCCAGGGAAAGGGCTTTCCTTCCCAGTTTGGTTGAGAGGGCACTGGGGCTGGTGCCTTCCCTTCTAGGTGCTGAAGAACAGGAAAAACCCTGGTTAATTTACTTTTTGCAGAGTCCGCTACTGGGATCTTCTGCTGCTGGTTCCCAATGTGCTTTTCTTTATGTTTCTTCTCTGGAAGCTGCCTTCTGCCAGGGCCAAAATCCGTGTCACCTCCAGCCCGATCTTCACTACTTTCTACATACTAGTGAGTACCACTCCCTGCTTTTGGACCCAGGAGTGGTTTATTACCACTCATGAACAGTATCATGGAACTAGTGGACAGAGAGCCTAGACCAGGGATAATCTATTATTGGTGTGCTATGAGAACTAGACACATTTTCTTTTTCACTGTCTGAATATTGCTTTTCACAGATTCTGGGACCATACCTACTGCATTTGAGTGGATTTTGTTTTCCTGTGGGGATTTTTTTGTTTTGTTGCTTTGTTGTCTTGGAGTCTACTATCTTATGCTTTCTTTGGTCCTTGCAGTAAGTAGCATGTGACCCAAACCCAAGTTCTCACTGAGGTGGTGAGAGCAAAACACTGGAGATTGTGTGAAGCTCTTTTGAAGCTTGGTCATCTGCTACACAGTTGGTGTGACAGGGTCTCACCAGGTTGGTTCTGGTTAGTCTGGGAATGTAGAAACCCAGTCCTGTTTGTTTCCCATCATATCAAAGTGGCTGCTGTTTAGAGACATTCTTGATACTTAAGGTAGAAAGAGAATATATAGGCAGTACAGTTACAGTTCTCAAGCATCCAAGGTCTTGTCTGTTCTCTGCCCAGTTTAAAAAGGCACAGGCAACTCGTGATCACGTTAAGGTAGTGTCTTTAGTAATCTCTGAATGTCATACCTGTTAACTGTGGTACTGCTCACCAGAGTGTGGTAAATGCAGGTAAGGACCTACCAGAATTCCATTCAGAAGCTTTATCATAGGTGCTTTTTGAGCTCTTGCCTTGCCTCTCTGTAGCATAATGTGCTTGCTCTTCCTCAGGTTATTACCTGTTGTAGAAGTAGATGTGTTTGAATTGGGTTAGATGGGAGGCACTCTTTTTTTGGGCTGCATACAGGTACTGGCATGGCAAAACTGAAGAAGCATTGAAACCAAATCTGAGCTAGTAGCCTCAACTGACTCTTTGGTGGGAGGTCTTGTTAGCTCTTCCAGGCCTGGAGTGTGGGCACTGGGTTTGTGCACAATTTTGGTCAGCCAAGTATACACATAAATGCTCCAAACTCCTAAAAATATTACAGGCCACTTCCAGAATGATTTTAAATCTTACTTTATGCTTCCAGTAAGGCACATGGCTCAGTAGAATGTTTATGCTGAAAGCTTTGAAAAGCAAAACTGAAGAAGAAAGTGAATTGACTTTATGCTGCTGACTTTTACAAAACAGTGAAAAGCAGAAAGTGATGAAACAGCCTTAAAGGAAAATGCTTTCATGCAGTTTGATGTTCCGGAGTGTGTTGTTGGGAAATGAGGATGGAAGTGTGTTCCTTGAGGATTTCCTTGCAAATGGCTATTTGTCATGTCTTGAAGGAATGCTTTTTTGTGGAGTCAATGATTAAAGCAAAGTTAATAGGTTGGGAAGAGTCTCTACCTCAACTTAGGAAGCAAAAAGGGTGTGTTTTCCTCTCCAATGAGTTGTTGCTGCTCTAGAACACCATTACGCTCAGGGAACCTTCTTTTTTGTCACTCTTTTGTCACAGTATTTTCCATTCTAGGAGGGAGTGCTGTATTCTTCTTCCATGTTATTTCCTCTAAGGAAGAAATATTCAGCTGTAGGTGTCTTACTGGTCACTTCCACTCTCCAGCCACCTTAGAATGGGCTTGGACTCTTCATTCTCTGCTGGGTTTAGCATCTCATACTGACATTAGAATTAGCCTGGGACTCACATAATTTTATATGGAAAAGTCTGTTTTCTTACAGGCTAAGTCTGCACAGTGGAAGGCAGCTGTGTCCAACTGAGCTCTTAATTGTGTAGTATGGCTGTGACACACAGGAGTTGGTAGGTCAGCCTTGCTGAGCTCCATGCTGTCATGCTTAAATGGGACATGAGCTGGCTTGAGTATCTCTGTGCTGCACTTGGCAGCAGGATAAGGAGTTTTAAAGCTATTGGCTGCAACTGACTTTCCTCTGCATCCCTGAGCATTGTCAGTGCTGAGTGAGAATGGCTTCTGTTATCTGGTGTGAGTGATGTATTCATACCAGGCACTTGATCTTGTAATTTGGAGGGATATGGGTTTGGTCTTGTTTTTCTCCTCCCCTGCCCCAGTGGACTGAAGGGTAGGAAGACTATTTGCCTGTAAAGATGCTACTGTAAGGAGGAGATGACACCTCTTCAGAGCTTTTTAATCTGACAGTTGAGAAAATTTGTTCCTTCCTAAATTCTAAGCCAGTACATCTAACAGGCTGAGGAGTCTTTGGCAAATGAACTCTAATTTGCTCCAGGAAATCCCTAGTACATGTTACCAGGCTTGAAAGCTGACCTGAAAATGGCATTCCAGAAGGGTTTCTGGCCACCACTGCATATGTGCCTTTTGACACAGTCTCACTTTTGGTATCTTTTTGTGCAGGTATTTGTGGTGGCTTTAGTTGGTATTGCCCGTGCTGTTGTCTCCATGACTGTGAGTGCCTCTGATGCTGCCATGGTTGCTGATAAGGTGGGTACAACACTGATTTTAGAGGCTTTGCTTTGTGTAGGTCTGATCACAGCAATCTGCTTTGGCTTCCCCTTTTATATGTATACAAGAAGAACATGAGCTTTTTGCAGTACTGATGGCTCTGTGTACTATGGAATCCTGCCCTAAGAACTGTATCTAGATGATCACAACATCCAGGGCTGTAAAACAATGGACTTCCTAAAACAGATGCACAAACAGCGATGGCAGATGTTTCCTCTTGCAGGGATGAGCTAAACATTCAGATACCTTTAGTGGATAGGTAAAACCTGGCCTTAACTATTAGTCTTTCAATGTTTGGGTGGCTCTTGGAAAAATATTTAATTCTTTTGTGTTGAAAGCAAATGAAACCAAATTCCCTTTTGAAACTGATACCTGAATGTCCTTGCAGCCACTCTGGGAACAGGGTGAGCCCTTAGCAAACAGGAAAGAGCTTTGTACCTGCTCTTCCTCTGTAGTCATTTGACTTGTAGCAGAATATTACCTTAACCAAAAAAGCTCTGTAGTTCTTGACCTGTTAAAAGAAGAGCCACCCATAGAGTACAGGTCTTCTGTCTTTATTCTGTGGGATCAGTGTGATTCTTTTGCTTTCCCCTTTAACGTTACCTGTCAAAGCATTATAATGCACTGCTTGTTGTGAGTGGCTGGATGTTTGTAGCATTTTCGTTTACCTCTCTTGAATAGATGTAGGTCCAGAACCTGAATAATAAGGTGAGAAGGTATTTTTCAGCTCTGGTGTTGCTGCAGAGTGCCCCTTGCTGGGAAGTTGTGCAGTAAGACATGTACTCTGTCAGTTTTTCCTGTGAACACATATTCTATTGTCTTCCTTTTGTTTCTTTTATATATACACACACACAGTGTTTTATGAGATTAGAAGTGTCTCATCAAACACCTCTTAAAATACTGTGTCTTAAGAGACAGTGCCCTTCACCATTCAGAGGAAGAAGTTTAATAAGCCAAAATCTGGGCTCTTGGTCTAGGTTTGGCACCGACTTATTTTAAGACTGCCTGGAAAGTTGCTGTACCTACTGTATTCTTGAGTTTATTTTACCAAATAAAACTTGGGAATGAAAATGACAACCTGTGAGGGCTTTAGGGTTTAATATGCTTTAGACTTAGACCAGCAGCTTTGGAGGTGTGCAGAATACTGAGTTTGTTCAGTCATAACTGTACTACAGAACCTACTGTTTTAAGAACTGTTCCTGTTGAATACTTTTGATGGCTTCTTAGGTTTGTGCTCCTTGGGAGTGCAGCAGAAAGCACATCTAAGTGTGTGCCAGAGAAGCAGCAGATCCTCACATGTGGCAACCCATGGCCACTTCCTCTCCATAGACATGCTGTTTGCTCCCTCCCACACAACTGTCCTGTTTCACAGGCATGGGCACGGCTTGGAACAAGAACAGAATGAGTACCCTTACGAAGCACGAGGAGGGTTTGTGGAAATGGCCTGCTCCATTCAGAGGCTGCCACCCCCTGGAGCAGAGAGTGCAGTTTTGCTGTATTAAATTACCACTGGTTTCTGATTGCATCTAATTGCCTTTGGTTTCTGTTATCCCCCAGATCCTGTGGGAGATCACAAGGTTCTTCCTTCTGGCGATCGAGCTGAGTGTGGTGATTCTAGGCCTCGCCTTTGGTACGTGTCAGGGGCTTTTGGAGTGGTTTGAGTATTTCCTAGTCCCTTTCTCTCCACAGAGGCTGCATCTGTAACTTTGCGGAGATGCCGATTCTAGAAAGTGAAGGAGTTCTAGAATAAAGACAAAGGACAAATTGGAGAGTTTTAGTTAGAAATTTCTAAAAGCCTGGTTACTTTTATAGATCTATGGCTTGTGCACTTCCAGGGTTTGTGCTTTGTTTTTCCTGCATGCACATGGAGTGTACAGCTTAGGTGAAAAAGACTTACGTGAAGATCAGTGCAATATTCTGATCTTTATTTCAATGGGTTTTTTAAAAGTGGTTCCTTTGGGGGTCCTTCTGTCCCCTCCGTGGTTGTTTTGATTCAGTCTTGGCTTCATTCAAGTTCTATAACTTTACCTGCAGTCTGTAACTGTGCTTTTTTAGTTGTATAAGTGAAAATGTTGGGATTTCATCCTGAGTCACTTCTGTATTCCTTCTTTCCAGGTCATCTGGAGAGCAAGTCAAGTGTGAAACATGTTCTGGCAATCACTACAGTGCTGTCCCTGGCATATTCTGTCACCCAGGTGAGCACATTGGAGCAGAAGAATTAGTCTTTGCAGAAGAGTGGACTTTGCTTGGAGTTGGGCAGTTAAGTGTGGGACTTCTATGTGGGAAAAAGAGCTTTGCTCTTCGGATGAGGTTTGGAGGGAAGACTGGATGCTTATGGCAATGTATGAGGATCCCCAGAGCATATACCAGGCTGTATCTCCTTGTTGTCTTTATGGCATAAATGGTTCAACCAAGGTGAAGAAATGAGCTAAGCTTAGATGGGTTAGTTAGATGGATTGCTTTATTTAGTGAACCTTGGAACAGCAGTGAAAAGTTTTTCACACCTGAGCCATAAGTTCTGAATCTAGCCTCAAGTCCCATGAAAACTAGATGGAAACCTGAGGTCTGCCTGTCAGATAAGGGCTCTGTAGAGGGCCTGTTTCCTGACTCTTTGAGAGCTGAGAGCTCTTGATTCCCTTCAAACTAGCAACTGGCTTGCTAGCTCAGTTTATTGAGCTGTGTCTTTCCTCTCTGAACAATGCAGTATGTGTCTGGCTTTATTCTTCTCCTCAGTATGCCACTGGTCAGCCCTCTGTCTCTATACTTGGGGCAGAGCTGGAGCAACACACAGATCTTTGTTCCATGACCAGGCTCTTGCATGCATAGGCAGTGATCTGATCATTACCACATGATAAAGCTGGAGAAGCCTCATTAAATATCAAGTGTTTGAGCTACATCTGGGTTCATTAGTGCTTACAAGCACTTTTCTCTCTTACCTGTCTGTATGGTAGATTCTGTTCATATAATTTTTCAGGAATTCAAGTGAATTGAGGCAGTGGCCTTTCCCAACTCTTGCACAAGTGTGGGCTCTTATATTCTGGATGTTTCAGCAGAAAAAGTTTGCTTTAGAGATGGAAATGATACTGGCAGACAACTCCAAATGATTTCAGACAGACAACTCCTTGCATCCTCTGTCCCTTTAGTCTCTCTTCTGGAATGTCATTGATGCTGATTTCCTTCAGATGCAGTTTCCTGTAAATTATTTTTCCCTCCTCCCTTCTCATCTTCAGTGTGTTCCTCTTATTTTTTTTTCTGGTGTGAGTCTAACTTGGCCTAAGCAGGGCAGTGGTTGGCTCTTTGGTGGCAGAGACAGCTGTTGTCTGAACTTCTTTAAACAGTCTCCCTGCTCCAGACACCCACTCTAGTGAAGATGCTGCCTTTAACAGATTTGTGTTGGTGCCACTTCTCTCCTAGGGTACCTTGGAAATCCTGTACCCTGATGCCCACCTCTCAGCAGAAGATTTCAACATCTATGGCCATGGAGGGAGACACTTTTGGCTTGCCAGCTCCTGTTTCTTCTTTCTGGTAAGTACTGTGCACGTGTTACATACTCTGATAGCTGCCTTGTATTTTCTAAATGGGGCAGGGAGGATGATTTGTCTATAATAAGGCCCTAGTCCCCCTCCTGCCTGATACAGGGCAGCATTGATGCTTCTCATGGGGCAGGGAAGCTGAAGCAATATAAGATGTGGTGGGAGCTGTGGCACCCAAGGGCTGTTCTCCCTTGTTTCTCAGTGATCAGCCTTTTTGTGCTGATGGGGGTGAGATGTGGAGCCTTCACATCTGCACTGGGTTTAATATCAGGGTCTGTGCCTCTGTCCCAAGACATCTGGGGAGTGTGACACCACACACTGTCCCTGCAAAGACTGCTGAATTCAGTTGCCAATCAGATGTGGAACAGTTGGTTCTTTATCTCAACAGGTCTATTCCTTGGTGGTGATTCTTCCAAAAACTCCTCTGAAAGACCGTATTTCTTTGCCCTGTAAGTGACTGTAGTGTGTTCATAGTGTAGATGGAGAAAGCACCAGGATCAAACCTAGGTGGGAGTGAGAGGTTCCTGGATGTGACTGTGCTGCAGACACATCCTGCTCTCTCAGGGTGCAGATGCATGGCAAAGGACTGATAATTTATCCCTGGAAAAGCAGTATATTGTTTACTCAGCTCTCCAAAAGGTACAATTACATTGCTACTGTAGTAGCTAAACAATTACATTAAGAAAGCAAGACCTACTGCTTAGCTAGTGATACAGAAGTAGTGTAAATATATAATCTGCAGAGAGCCCTAAGAAGTGGCTTCTTAATAATAGCTTTCTTTGAAATGTATGGGTGATATTACATTGTACATGCTAACTGTCCCCTGGGAAAGAAAGGCTAATTGGGAGCTGCTTAGTAGTTTTTATCTATGCATTTACTTGATTAAGATGCTTCTCTGGTTTTTCCTTTTGTTGCAGACTATTTGCAGTTCTTGAATAGGGAGAGAAGTTGTTACCAAGATGTTTGCATTGGGCTGTTCTCTCTCTAAATAGCTTTGGCATCTGTGTGGGTACCCTGAGGGAGAGGATGTGTGTGGCACGTGCCATGGGCAGGTGGTCCTGGGCCTGTTCTGCATAGTGTCCAGCACACCCTGATGCTCCTCTCCAGGCCTCTTGAACGGTTTCATTAGGGCTGTTTGTTGGAAGGGCTCAGCTTCTGGCTCAGCTGTGGGCTTTTTGCTTGTATTTCTCAAGTTCAGTTGTGTGACTGACACTAGTTCCAAATGCTTGCCTATAAAATCTTTGCACGTGTTGCCACAATCATGTGTTTTCAAAACCCGTTGTGTGTGCATACACATTCAGGAGGGTGTGGTTTAGTCCACCGTACCTCCATCAGTCCTGCCAGCATGGGACAGAAAAGTGCAGTCTTAATTCTTCAGGAGTTCTTGGACAAGGTGGTGAGATGTGTCTGGGTTTGCCATCTCCATCCAACAGCTTTGCAGTGGGCTGGTGCTTGTGAGGTGGAGATTCATCTGTGCCCGTGTCTTTCCCACAGCCAGGAAGAGTTTTTATGTTTATGCTGGAATCCTGGCGCTGCTGAACCTGGTGCAGGGCTTGGGCAGTGCCCTCCTCTGTGTGGATATCATAGAAGGACTGTGGTATGTATGCTGGGGGAGGAGATCTGCAGCCCAATTTCTCATGTTGCCTTTGAGTGTCCTTCAACACTGCCTCTCCTGAGAAAACAAACTTGTGCTGTGTTCCTAAGAAGGAATAAAGCTGTCGGCTCTGGTTTGTGCCAAAACACCTCTAAGTGGTCAGGAAACTCACAATTAAGAGATTGGTGGAGCTGCATGCTCTGCAGCAGTCTTGATGTGGTGAGAGTAATAGCTGGAATCCACTGATGCCTGGACATTGGCTCATGTTTCATAGGTAATAAGAGAAAACAGGAAACAGTCTGCTTGCTACACTGGTGTGGGGATAGCCTTATTCATGGCTGGAGCCTCATTCTGCAGGGATCAACTTCTTGGAGCACTGAGACTGCTCTTGGTCAGACCTTGGGTCTTGGCGTAGTCCCCTCTGAGTGTCTAGGAGCAGTGACAATGTCTCTTACTTTGCACCAGCATTTCTCATTCTGTTTCAGCACTCCAGAGGGGAATGGAATCGTTCTGGGGGATGTGACTGGTGTTAGCTAGCTGTGTTGTGTTCAAGTGCTAAATACCTTTGTGTTCCCTCTTGTTGTTGACAGCTGTGTTGATGCTACCACGTTCCTCTACTTCAGCTTCTTTGCACCTCTCATCTATGTGGCATTCAAAAAATTCTTTGGGTGAGTAGCCAGGAACAGGAGTTCAGAGAGTATATATTGTCATTCAGTTGCTTAGCACTCAGAATCTCCTCATCTGTAGAATAAAGGCAGCAACTAGAATGCTAGTTAAGGAACCATTTTTAATTTCTGGCCTTGAAATTTTTCTTGTGTGATCCCAGGGCTTCTTGCTTCTATCCAAGACTCCTTTGTATGCAAAGTAGGGCTAACAGCTGTATCCCTCTGAAACATGTATGAGGATCACCTCTTCAATGTCTGCATGCTGTTTAGTACAAAGTTTTTCTGCTGAAGTTAACTAACCCTTGTTAGTGAGAGATCGAGTGTTGGGAGGTTGAATGGTCTTCTGGGAAGGTTTTGGGATAGGTGGAAAAGAATGTGGAAAGAATGTAGGGGTTAGGTAACTCTTTGGCTGAGGATTCCTCTACAACGGGCCCAAGAGCCAGCAGTTAAAGCACTCGGGAGTGTGATTCCTGGGTCGGGGTTGCCGCCGTGTGGCCACTCGAAGGAGATGCACCTTCGTAGGAAAACCCGGGTGGTGTAGTGTAGGCTTCAGCTTTCATTGCCTGTAACCAAGAAACAGCAGGCTTTAAAATCACTAAGACCATGAAGTACTGCTGAAATACCAAAATGTTCCTCTGTGGCCCTCTGAAATCGGAAGGGAACAGTTTCTGGAGTTGTGGATCAGCAGTTCCCATCTCTTAAGTGTTTGTATCTTAGTTTTCCTGGTGCGCAGATGGAACTTGAGGTGAACTCCTGTTCTGCTGGTGTAACCAGGCTGCTCTGGAGTCCAGTGGTGTTTGGATGTTGTTGCCCTCAGTAATTCAGAACTCCTAAAGATGAGAACACCTTTCCCACGTTACAGTTGGGATTCTGACACTTGTTTCTCTTGGGTGACTTAGTCTTAGTCTAAGCTACACTGGCATTACTTTATGGCAGTTACTCTGACGGGCATGTTGCAGGACTGTAACCTAGTGTGGAGAGTGCCTAGGGTCTGAATACACAATTTCTTAGTGCTGCCAAGTTTCAGTTAAGGATAAATGGCTGTGATACTACATTGCTTAAGCATGTCTTGTAACTCTTTAAACCCTCCAGGTCTGAACCGAAGATCCTTTTCTCCTACAAATGTCAGGTGGATGAACCCGAGGATGTGGATGTGCACCTACCCCACCCTTATGCTGTTGCCAAGAAGGAAGGAATGGATTCTGGGTTCTACTCAAGCACTCAGATTGACACCACAGCCTACCTGGACGACGTGGCTTCTATGCCCTATCACGTGGGCAGCATCAACAGCATAGACAGTGACCGCTGGAAAGCCATCAATGCCTGAGGCAGGGCTGCCTGCTTCACACGATGCCTCGGTCCTGTCCTTCCAAAATCCCTGATTCCACAGCTGTTAGGATGTCCATTGGAAATCTGTCCTTGGCTGTCTGCCGTGGCTTTCCTCTCTTCCTTAGGATTTCTGAAAGCTGGCAGCCCAAATCCTGTTGGAAAGAACGAAATAACGTTTTCTGTTGCTGCCTGAGAAAGATGTAGAACAGTTTTGTTTGTAAACCTATAAACACTGAACCTTCCTGATCCTCTGTGTTCCAGATGTGAATATGACCCAGAAGACAGACCTGACTGACACCTATCCTTTTCAATGACTGAAAGCACTTGTCTGCCAGCGGGGGGAATGGCGTTCAGGGGTGAGGGGGGTGGTTTGACTGCTGCATTGTACATATATAGAAAGAATTTGATGGTTGAAACCAAAGATGGTCTTCCTGGGATTTTTCAAGCAGCATGGCTGCCTGGGTCTTGTCATAATGCAATAGCATAGGTGGTGATAGCAGTGTCTGAAGAGGGAAGCTGGTCAGCTGGGCTCATTTCTAGTTTCAGCCACTGCTGATGGAAATAATGAATTGCAGTTGCTAGGGGTTAAAAGGAGCATTCTGAGTGTGTGTGGGAAGAAGAGAGGCATGAGGAGGAATGAACTGTTGTGTGCCCTGGGAGCATTTTGGGGGGTTGGTAGCTAGCAGCATGGATGTGAACTGACTGAACAATGGGGAGACAGGACAGACAGTGCTGCTGGCTAGCTGAGCTGGAGTAGCTGTGAAACTGTCTACAGAGGCTGTACTACTGTGCATCTGAGTTCACAGGAAAATCTCAGTAACAACACTGAATCAGGGCCAGGTTTCAGGAATAAAACCTGTGAGGTAGGTGCACCTGCACCCTGCTTCATGGCCCTGGCAGGGTCTCGGAGAATGCTGTGAAGGAGGAAGCTGGCTCTGCAGATGAAGGCTCCAGAGACATTCAGGTGCTTGAGGCAGAGCAGGAGCCCATGAGGAGTCTGAGCTGTCAGTGACTGGAAACACTCAAACACCACAGGCATGCTAGAGTCAGGCTGGCTGGTGTTTGAAGTTGGGAGGCAAGTGGAAGATGGATGCGTTTCTCTGGCAGTGTCCTCTCTTATGTTGGAGTTCAGATCCCCAGGCTTCTGATGGTCTGAATGAGGTTTGTGGCTCAATATGTTGAAAAAATGTGCATATGGAGCATGGTTTGTTTAAAGACTATCTGGAACTTATTAACCTCTTCCATGCTGGAGAAGGGACTATTGTTCTCTGAGCTGTCTGGCACACAGTTTCAAGACGTGTCCCAATCCAGGGACTGTTCAGCTGAAAGCTGCATCAGGCTGGTTTCTGGGACATACTATGCTCTCCAAGGATGAAAAGGTGTATTCTTCTACTTTTGGGAGTGCTTTCCTACCTGAATCCTTTAGGTAGGTGGAAGTCTGCTATAAGCAATAGCAATTTCCCATAAGAAAGGCTGGAAAGAGGGAATTTGAAATGCCTGGGGACTGTGTGGATCTCTTGGCTCAACTCTTGTTCCTGAAGAGTGTTGAGGTAAGTTTCTGGGAAATTGCCATGCAAGTGTGGAGTTGTTAGTTTGGATCACAAGCAGGCGGGGGAAAGTATTTGCTACCAGGTGTTCCCAACGCAGGGAAAGGAAGTTTGAGTAAGAACAGGAAGTTCATACTGGTTGCCAAAACTATGCAGGCCCTTTGCTTATCTTTTTTTTGTTAATGAGCAATGCAGGCTCTCTGTTCTGCCTGTGGACTTTGCCCTGCAGGCCTCTAAGTAGCACTGGCACCTTGAAAACAAACATCGCCACCTCCCCATCCATTTTTTTTAAACTTTACTTTTTTTGGGAAAAAAGCGTCAGGTTGTCTGTGTGAGAGCTGAATTGTCTCGTGTAGGCCAACAGCCATTCACATTTCCCCTCCATGTGATGATGATGTAAGGGCTGGACAAGCAGCTGGCCAAGTCAGCCCTTGCCACACTAGTGCTCCGTGTTCCTCCTGTCCCCCGGAGCCACGCACACTTGCTGACTCTGAAAGGGATGATGTGCTGCCCGAGTCACTTGCTGCTGCTCCTAGTGCTGCTCCCAACACTGCTCCCCAGCTGCTCTTGCAGCCTGGGGGAACCTGCAAAGCCTCCCTGGAGCTGGCAGGCCTCAGACAGAGCCAAGAGGCAGGAAGATCCTAAAGCAGTAAGAAATAGAGGAGCAACTATTCTGTCCCAGAGAGTATTTGCTGACTCCAGTACCCTGACCACGAGGACTTACCTGCCCTCCTTGGTGATGTGAAGAGCGAGTTAGGGGTTTGCCTTTCTACTGGCTGGATTGAGTGCTGAGGGATCACCTGTGCAGGTGGTCGACACGTCCATCCTGTCCTTTGCTGGCAGGACTCCAGTGTTCCTGGAGTGTCCTACGTCCTGCTGCCGTGGAGCTTGTGCACTAGGTCATGGACTGACCTTCCTCCTGTTGTATTTCTGTGTATATATAATGCTTTGGGCCATCTTCAAAATGGTCCTTGAGCAGAAGTGTGTTATGTGTGGGTGGAGTAAAAAAAGAGAATATAGAATAGATGTATATTTTTGTTTGTAAAATAAAGAAATAAAATTAAGTTTGGCATAAATGGTAATATTTTCTTTATCAAATGATTCATATTATGGAGAAAAAATAATTTTCAGATGAAGTGTGTTTTGTTTTTTTTTTAAATCCCTGAACAAATGTGGCAGATAGTAATGGAATAACATGATGTCCTTCTGTCAGAGATGTATTTTTCCTTCTTGGAAGATTGTTTTGAGGACAGCAGATGTGGAGACTGCTCTCTGCAGAGTCATCTACATGTCAGTGAAACCTCTGACTCTTCTCCGGGTAACTAGTCTTGCTGTTCCTGGGCATGTCTAGCACCAGGGGTCTTTACCATGGAATGTCTTTGTTGCTTGGGAAAAGGCTTTTGTGGAAGTTGTCCCTGACTTGCTTATTTCTTGTTCTGGGGTTTGAGATGAACCCTGTGTGTCAGCACTAATTTTCTGGCAGCAGGGAGGACCTGATAGCTGCTGAGTAACAGCTAAGTGTGCTGGCAGTAATCAGCACCCAGCAGGTTCTGTATGGGGCATGGGCTGGGGAAGTGGGGTGAGCTTTGTCTCTGCCATGGGACTCAGTCACGCTCTTGTGCAATAAAATCTTCTAGAGGTCCTTGCAGGTTCCCTGCAGAAAACTGGAGGGATCCCCTGAGGAACTGCTGCTGCTGGAGTTAACTTTGCCATCCTCTGCTCCTCTGTAGGTGGCGAGGTATTGAAGTTGTTGTACACCACCATTATCATGGCTGCTTCCAAGCCGGTGTCCTGAAGGTAATGGGCCCTGTTGGGTGTTCTTAGGCTCTTGGAGATCACAGGAAGGCACGGCTGTAGTTGTGAGGTGCAGTCTTGTCTCTGCCTGCTGTCCCTCCTGGATCTTTGCAGATGATGCCTGCCACCTGGCAGGAGTTACACCTGAAAAAGGCCTCAGGAAGGATGACAGGAATAGTCAAAGTTAAGGGAAGGCTTCTGGAGGAGTAATTACATGGTTGAGAACTCACCAGCCTGGAAGAGCAATGGTGCAGGTCTGTGAAACCCTGAGAGGACAGAGGAAGTGAATAAGTAATGACTGTCCACTGGCTTTTTCACCACAGAAACTGGGTGCCATCAAGTGAAGTGAGCAAGTTACAGATGGGAGTTAAAGAAGGCTGGTGAGAGTGTTCTGGGAGGGAGCACGGTTTGACTCGAGCCTGATGCACTGGGTGTGTGTGGGGGTTTCTCCACTGCGGCACAAACGGCTGATGGCACCACAATGCAGTGCTCTCGGGTAGTGAACTCAAACAATAGTCCAAGTCCCCAGCGTACAAGGTATTACACAAGTATTTCCTGCTTCCAGAGAAGTACTCTAGGTGAGTGTCCTGGTTCTGTGTAAAAAGGGGTTCAGGGCAGGACCCACACGGAACAGAACTATGTACTCTCCTCTCCCCCCCACCGAGAGAGAGAGAGACTTTTGGGAAAAAAAATGAAGTATATTGTTCAACAAGGAACAGAAAACGAGAAAGGGAGGTAAGGAAAATAATATATACAAAGATTAGGGGAATAATACAAAAAATAAAATATACAAAACCCTCAGAAATGGTTCCAAGGTCCCACGGAGTGAAAGGAGAACTTTCCTCTCTGAGCTCCAAGGCAGGAGTGAAGTTAGCACCCACTCCCTGCCTCTTATCAGAGTGTGTGTGGGAAGGGGAGGGAATACAATGGTTCACCCCCACCCGGGGTCGTCCCAGTTGCTGGAAGGTCATGACCCCATTCCAAGCCTCAAACCACAACAGTGAGGCCTGGATATTCTGGGGGGCAGGGTCCTAAAGACTCCCATGAAGCTGGCCAGAGTCCCACTGCTCAGTCAAAGCTCCAGTTGCATCATTGTTCTTCACTGCAATTAAGCATTAAAGAGTTAAAACAGCTCATGCACTACGAAGAAGTAGATAAGTATTGTGTTGATACCAAGGCTTTAACTGTTTAGTCACAAATGCATGGAGTTGTGTAGGCCATCATGGGGCCTGTATTTCTGGGAATGCAATTTGCTCAGAAAAGATCTTTCAAAGCTGCTATTTCTTGGTCCAGCTATTATGTTGCCTTCTTTTTCATTCCTCTGGTTAGGCTGGGGCTTGCCTGTGCCTGGTGACAAGGAGCATATCCCATGTGGGACCCCTGTCTGTGCCTGTCATGCAGGTGGTGGCACAGTCAGTAGGTCTTGCTGGAACAGCGTGGCTGAAGGGAACAGAGGTGAATTCTGCCCACAGGGCAGCTCTGGTAAAATTGATGAGAGGTCACAGATGGTAATAGTGTTTCTGGTCACCAGAGAAATAAGCAGACACGTTTTGGGGGTGAGTTCCCTCCAGGACTAGGGAGAGAAAGGGAGAGTGAGAAGGGATTCCTGGGGACACTTTTGTCTCCTTGCTGCTGATGGAGAATCACCTCGGACATC